GTCAAAAGCAAGATTATATCATCTTCCTTTAGGATTCAATACTTTACATAGATCAGATCTATTTCATTATTATGATATGTCTAACTATCCAATTTTTTTATTAATTAATACAGATCTAATTAAAATTTTAGTTTGCAATTATACTTATCACAAGTCCTATTATATCAATAATAGATTCAAGTATATGTATTATTTCTCATTCTTACAAAATAGAATTGATAAACATATCTAGTCTTTACTAGAATATTTGCAATATTTTAAAGAATAGTAAAAAGTCAAAGATCCAGAAAATAATATTTCTTGTGATGATAATAATGAAAGTGAACTAATAGAATATATAATATTTATATTAGAAAAGGTATTACATAAATTTTAATAGCAATAGGTAATTTTTTTTAGTTTATTTTTTGTTATTACAATTGAATTTTTTTTGTTCTATAAATTATAATTTTATTAAATTATAATTTTATAAGATATTGATTAAATAATCATTACTTTTTTTTGTTCTCATCTAATTACATATCATTATTACATATTAAATTTTATCTATATATGTATCATTAAAAGAAATCTAGAAATCTTAATTTTTAGATTTTCTCTTAGAATTACTTATATTTATATTTTTATTTATTATAGTATTAAATCAAAAAAAATAAATAAAATTAGTATAATATAAATAATTCTTTACTTAAAATGATTACATATACATTAATTTATGATATTGAATTACTAAATTTATATAATTAATTCTTAATTGATCTTATGATATAAATCTTAAGCAAATTAGTCAATTATACAAAAGTCTTTCTATAAGATCTGTGATATTGCATGTTAGAGTCAGATAGAAATGTGATTTCAGAAAAACTCTAAAAAATAATATTGATAATCTAGAGATTATCATTAACCTAAGATCAGGTGGTCTTCTGCCAGCATATTGAAAGAAGATTTCTAAAGATTATATTGACTTGGCTATTATCATGCGTAATATCTTATTTAACTTCTTCATTTCAAATACAAATATCTTAGATGACAATTTATATTGAATATTTATACTTGAAACACAGTCATGGGGTAAGTGTCTAGATTTCTAGTTATAAAATATGTGGTATTTTTATAAATTCATATCTTTTGTTAAAAGATTAGACCCATAATACATTTAGTAGAAATTGTTAAGTCATAAATCTTTGTCAGTTTGAGAGATTTGCCAGAACAAAACTGCCAAATACTACTAGAATACTTGTCTGCCTAGAAGCTTTTTATATAGTCATGTTGGATATAAAGATATGATAATCTTATGCATATGTATTAAACTGGATAATCTCTCATATTTCAAAAAATTTTTCTTAGCTATCTCTTAAGAACATTTGTGATTACGCGAATGACATTGCCTTGGCACATGCCAGAAAAGAAGAAATGAAGATGAGGAGAACAAAGAGGTTGGAGGATGTTTTGGTTAAGTAACCAGGACACCAGCCAAGAAGAAAACTAGATAGTTGGTCAGATTCCATTCTTCCTTCAAGAGGATATGCATGAGTTTTTTTTTAAAGAGGCAACCATATATTTTTATAAAGTTTTAATTATAATTTTATTTTTTCTAAATCAAAACAATAATAAAATTTTATAATAAATAGAATTATTTTATTATAACTAAATCTTGAACTTTTTAAACTACAAGTTTAATAATCTATTTTTTTTAATAAGAACCAGAAATTCATATACATACCGTAAAATCTTGTCGAAAGTATTACAACATGAATTAATGTTCACTTTGTCTGGTTTTGTTGCAGCACGCCCCATATCATATTTGTTTTTGTTTTAACATCCTACTAGACGATTAGTTCGATCGAAAATCGGATACCTTGGACTTTCTAGAAGAGTGCGATCAAGAACAAGTCGACCAGAAAATAGGCATTTACCGAAGGAGAAAGGCAAAAACGAGCACAAGAATTGCTCGATAAATATAGATAGGCGAGTTTAAATTTTTGGTTAAAAATACCTAGAAGGAATTGGTGGCGTGGCAGAGACTTTTAAGGTTTCTGTCATTCAAGCTTTTAAGACGAGCCACGAAGTTAGTGTAAGGATGCAGTTGGATTTTAAGTTTAGCTGTATTCAAGATTTTAAATCGGTTTGGTTGCGTTCAAGATTTTAAGTCGACCCGATGGGAAATGGGAATAATCGGAAACAGAGTATGTCAGTTGCGAAAGTTAAGAATATTATTAATTCACCAAATTTGCATGCTAGTGTTCTCGATCGTACTCTTTCAAAAATCGAGGTATAAAATAATTGCCTTTGATTAAAGTAATATTTTTCGCATGCTTTTGTTTACCAACCTATTTATCTCTTCTGCAACTGGATTCGGTAGGCTCGTGCTTTTTTTGACGCTTGCAAAAATCGTAGTAGACGAATATATTTGATGCCTTTACTTCGATCTTGATTCCTCGAAATTAGAAGGCTGGTACTAGATGAATGTCTGAAATCGCTTGATTGACCCAGCTTTCGATAATTTGAACCTCGATCTAATGCGTGGGGATAGAATGAGTCTTGCATCGAGCAACAGAAATAATCTTCAAAGAACATTAAACGAGCGAAAGAAAATTGGTTGAGAGTGCGACGGCGTTTTTAGACAGTGTAAGGATCGTTTAGAATTTGGCGCTATTCAGACAGGTCGAAAAGGAGAGGAGCAAAATGAAAACAAATATTAATCAGATTCTTTTAAAACATGTAAAATGTTAAAAGATATGATAGACCAGCTTGCCACTGAATGTGAAACGAAAGAAAGAACTCGTGAGAAACTACAAGTAGTTTGAGTCCTTAGTCAATTGTTTGAAAACGAGGCTGATTTAGAACGAGTTGAAGTCAAAACCCTAAATATGATGCTGGAACCGCCGACAAATAGGATTCAAAAAAACGCTTTTCAATAGTCTTTCAAATCAGTAGTTCTAACGCGGAAGGATATTCAAGAAAAGTTTTATAATTCGGTGCGAAGGAGACGGTGGACATATTGCCAAATCTTTAATAATGTTAAGAATAAAGTAAAAAGATGACTGCATGACCAGGATATAATTATGGGACCTTTAATACTAGACATACGGGAAGCCTACGGACAGTAGTGCTGTATCGGATGATCTTTCCGAATTTATAATCGGTGATAACAAAGTTAAGGAGTCAACCAAGGTCAAAGGTTTTATAGACAAGTCGTGGCTATACCTGAAACTCCAGGCTTTGTTCGCATCCAATATAGCATATTCGGTCACAGACGTGGTTGTAGTCTTCAGCATGCAATAAATGCGATGATTCAAATCAGACAATTACCATGGGCAGGTGGTACCTCTCCAAATGGGCTTCATCATGTTAGATGCATTCGAATTTCAATCCAGGTTATTGTTCAAAATAGCTTAAATTTTATCTATGAAATGTGACTATTCATCTTGCGTTACCAGTTTTAATGAACCAAATTTCAAATTTCCTAAATTTTCATTACATCCGATCGACTTCCCAGAAAATTGAGTCGGTGATCGACACCAGATGGGTACAATCAAAACTATATTACTTAATGATCATATTGGGACTAACTTAACTGTATGCTAAATATGCTTACATATTTCTTTATTACTATACTAACTTAAATACTAGCAGTCAATAGGTAATATTCTTTTGACTGCACCATCAAAGCATCCGGTGTCGATCACCGACTCAATTTTCTGGAAACCTTCAGGAAGTCACCAATAGATCAAGTGTAACATACGAATTTGATCAAAACAAGAGAAAATCGTAAATAGTTCAGAATTTTATGATAACTAGTGCTTAACGCAAAAATTGAGATATATTTCTATCTTATTTGATATCTATTTAACTTATTATTAATGTTTTGATGATGCTACCTTAATAAAACCTTAATAAAAAGGCGCCAGTAACTGACAAAAATTGACTAACGCATTTACATGTCGATGTATTATAATAATAAAATAACTTCCGATTGCACAATTTGTAGCTGGAAACTATAGATATCTTTAAAAAACACAACTAATTATTTATGTGGAGTGTCTCAGAAATCCCATTCCGAAACGGAAACTATTGCAAGGTGATTGTACATATACGTATTACTATTTAAAACTTGTTCATTACATAATGACACATTATTTAATTATACCATCATTTTCTCAATTTTTTATTAGTTAATTATAGAATAGCGAATCCGAAAGCACAATATAAAGACAAGCACATCATTGAATTTAAAAAGGCATAATGTGAATGATTAGGAATTGCATCTAGTTATTATTTTCCATTGGATTAAACTCGGTTATCATCTGCTTAATATACAGTTTATCTTCAGTTATATATTTCTTCTATAACTTGCCTAATTTCTACATATATTAGATTTAATGCGCTTTCGAGAAATTGAATAAAATGTTGTTTTGCAACAATTCAGCTTTTACGTTCGTCAAAAACCTGACAATTCGGTTGTCGGATTAGCCAAGCATTAACAACTCCATAAGGACCATTAAATTCCTGTAATTCTACGAAATTTTGGATATGTCACCATAAAAGTAAGGCAAAAATGAGCTGGAAAAAATTTATTATATTAAAGTGCTCATTAAATCAAATTTCGTTATATAGAGATTTCAAACACAATGAAAAATTGACATATTTGAATTAATGTTACCGTTACCGTTACCATTATCATTACCGGTTGATGAACCGGTCAGTGTTATTAATAGCACTTGGTTCAAATATAGCGAAAGTTGTTAACTATGAAACAAATATTTATATAAATAGTAAGAATTTCGTTTTTTGTTACCAATTTCTTGAATGTATACAATGTAGAATGCGCGATAACATCCTTATTGTTTTTGAAGTCAAGAAAATGTCATAGATTGCGAACAACACTCATTACAAGTCATCTGCATAATAAAAGTATATTTATTCTTTTATGACAAATATAAATTATCTATATAACAATACAAAGAATTTATGCTCTGATAATGACTGTAGGTTATTTTCTAAACAGTTGCAACACCCTTTCCGCGAGTATCATTAGTCATACCTTCAAAATATCGATAAAAAAACCCAAACTTGTCAATAAATATATAAAAAAAAAAGAAAAAAAATTTTAAAACTCACTTCTAATTGCTTTTGCAGTGCGCGCTTTACCATTATATACATGATGAATGGTTCCTTGCTCGAGAATTTGTTCAATCACTTCGTCAAGGTTACTAGTACCAAACGTATTCTCGAGTCGTTGTTTAGAAGGACGACCAGCGATTCCTTCGTTTCCTCCATTGGTGATTTCATAGACGTCAAAAGCTATAAAGAATAAAATGAAAACAATGCTAGACACGTGGGCTCTTTTTAGTGTGATAAAAAAATATCGGAAAATTTACTTTGAATGACATCAGCGAGTGGAATCGTTTTATCTTTTCGCCATTTCATTACCTGCAATTGTTTACGTTTGGTATAAGAAATCATGTGATGATAAAGATAATTATAAGGGAAAAAAAACTTGCCAATTCAGGATCTCCGTATACAAAATATTCCTCGCGATGACCTTGAGCTTTAAAAACAATACGGGTGTCGTCTTTTGTCATGATTTATTGTGTATGTATTGTTAATTTTTGTTAATTTTTGTTAGCTTAGTAGATTTTTTGTTAGCTTAGTAGATTTTTTGTCAGTTTAGTAGGGTGGGTAAGGTGGTGTGTTATATACGTTCGCGTGTGTATGGGAAAAAATTGATCAATCATTTTTGATTTTCGTGTGGGAAGATTGATAAAACGCTTTATTTCTTTATTTAGTTTACCTTCATGATGATCTATGTTGCACAATGATCTCTGATTGTTACATTGTTTTTAAAATGTACATGTGATCCAAAGTACAAGCTGCAGAACTTCAGTAAGGATATCGAGATGTCAATACCTGACGAGACACTAAGAAAGGTACAAGAAATCGAGATTCAATTTGAGAATCAATTACATGTTTGCTTTTCAACCTATTTAACAAGATTAAATGAAGCGAATAACAAAGCGTCTGTTTCTTGCCGCTTGCTTATTTTTCTTTTTTTTTCTAAGGTTCTCTTTGAACTACAAAATCGACTTGTGGAGAATAACCGTCAATTGTCGGCAGTCAAAGCACAAATTGCTGGTAAAGAACGTGAAAAAAAAATCGCCGAATTGACAAAACGCGAGTTGTTGGCATTACTAGAAGGAGATTCAGGTGACGGTAAAGGAAAAAATGCTGCCGTAAAAGATGTCACTACGTATAAATCTGTAGGAAAAGCGTGAGTTAGTTAGCTGTTTGCTTATGTGTGTGCGCGTGTCTGTATATGTGTGTGCACGTTAGGAGCATTGAGGATTGGGACTATAGGAAGTGTACGACCAAGTAGTCAAAGGAAAAAAAGCTTAATATACCCGAGTAATAATTGATGAATTTTGTTCTATCTCCGTAGTTTCTTTCGTACCGATTTGGATGTACTTCTTGAAGAACATAATGATCGTATCTCGAAAGCAACTTCAGAATTAAGCGCGTTAGAACAACAGAAAAAGTATTTAGAGCGAAATATTAGTGAGAGTCAGACTGGTCTACGGGAGGTTTTAGGTCGATGATCGTTTGGATTTGTGGGATTTTAAAGTTTAAACAACATAATTTTTATAATCCATACTAAGAATTTATGTCAATCCACATATATATAAATGTTATTCATTGTCCTAGAAAATCGCACTAAAAAAGGATATGGGACAAATAAACATAATATTTATTTCTGTACTTTTAACCAACAATAACCATGAACGGCCTTCTCTCCACATTTACTCGTTTCCGTAAACCGCCACAAGCCCACCTTATTAAACTTAGCTTTAATTCTGCTGC